TTTCTGCACTGTGATTTAGAAAATGTTCTCAAGGGGGAAAGTGGGATGAACACGGGGCTTATAGAATGTGATTCATTTCTCCTGTGTTCCCTTTCCCGTAAGGATCATAGCTTTACACTGACTTCTACTCAGTATTTTTTTGTGTGTGTGAAAATACTGTACAGAGGAGTTACAATTACATGGGCAAGATAGTGAATACATTTCTTATCAAGCATCGTAGCCTCCTCCTTTGTTTACCCTTCCCATCCCTTCCCAGCCTCCCCCACCCCCCTTCTACTCAGTATTTTATCCAGCTCTTATAATTGCTTATGGGGGAAAGTTAGTTCCAAGACCATCTACTCTGCTATGTCCAGATCCTTATCAATTACTTCAAAGAAATACATCTATCATCTAGTTGCCTAAGCTAGTCAGTCAACACAGCTAGAATTGGAACTGAGATTACTTTGTTCTCAATGACTATTATAACATTCTACTACTTCTACTATGTCAGTATATAATAATACACAAGAGTTTCTACAATTTTACTCAAAATTTCACATCAATATGTTTTTAGGGATTAAACTGTTTGGACACACAAAAAAGACTATGAGATGGCAAGTGAAACCATGAGGATTTTTCTTCCACGTTCTCTGATAATTGATAACTCAGTGGAGTATTTTATTTTATTCATTTATTTATTTTATGTATTTATTTTTTTCATTGGAGTATTTTAGATAGTGAGGTCTTGCCACAGACTTTTTTCTTAAGGCTTTTGCACATGGTGGGAAAGTACTTTATCACCAGCTCCTTGAGGCTTTCTACAGACACTGACACTTAAAAAAATACCCTGGGATATTAAAATTATCCTGACCTATTTAGGGAAACTGATGCTATTGAACAAGTTTTTTCACTGAATACGTGAGCTTTCTATTGACAAGCCCTGCCATGTCATCATGAGAAAGATATCACCTCCTATAGGTTTGGAAATCCTTTGTGAATAATGCTTATTTTTTTAAATGTCAAAAATGCATTCAGACCCTACAAAAATTAGCCTTTATTTTCAATTATGAACATATTCTCTTCTGACTCAGTTTCACTGAGTTGGAAAAGCCAATTACAACTTACAAACAATATCCTTTGTACTACCTGAAGGGAATATATTCCCGAAATGCAGAACCCAAAATTCCATAAATAAAAAGAAACATAGTGTAAAATATGTGTCTGTTTCTGTGCTTACTGCCTATCTTTATTAATGACAGATGTTCAGTGTTTTGATATCTCAATGATCTTATCAATTTTTGGATATAAATGCAAACACATACCTATTCTTTTCACCCCTTCTCAAATTCCCAATTTGATTGCTTGGCTTTCTTCTCTGCTAAGTGAGTTCAACTATGTGAGTCAAGCTCCTGAAACTCAATAATTCTAGATATCCGTAGTGAATATGAAGTAGGTTGAATGAGATGTAGAAGATAATGAAAGAAAGGAAGGGACTGGCATAGGAAAGTATTATGGCCATTGGGCATTTGCTGCAACCCAAGCAGGCAACTTTCAGTAATTCAGGCAGGATCGTCAACCATGTTTGGACCATGACTCTGAAGCTTTTCTTAGTATAATGCACAGCTGCAGTCTATGCTAAAAAAATTAGTCTAAATGCCTGGTAATTCTGAAACTTAGGCCAAATTCTATCCTTTTCTCCACGTGTAGAATATCTCTAAAATGACTGACACTAAAAAAAGATATAACTGGTATTGACAACTGCTTCCTTATGGAATTCAGCAGAACTAGTGTGTTTTCAGGTGATATATTCATGCATGTGAAAGAACTCCGTGGAACAGATCATTTGCAATAGAATTACAACTGGCCAGGGAGATGTAAGCTGAACGCTGTGACCCTGAAACCCACATCCCATCACTAAAATACTATGTCTAGACCCTCAGCCTAATGTTTCCTTTATTCTCCCGCTTTATTTTGTGGTGTGTGTGCGTGTGCACACAGGTGTATGTGTGTGTGTGTGTGTGTGTGTGTGTGTGTGAAGGTCCTGGGGCTTGAACTCAGGGCCTGGGCACCGTCCCTGAGCTTTAAGGCTCAAGTCTGGCACTCTACCAATTAAGCCACTCCACTTCTGGCTTTTTTTTTTTTTTTTTTAGTACTTAGTTGGTGACAAAAGTCTCATGGACTTTTCTGCCTTGGTTGGCTTTGGACTGGGATTCTCAGATCACCTACTGAATAGCTAGGATTAAGGGCATGAGCCACCCACCAATGCTGGGCTCCTTCCTCTTTTTGATGGAAGGTTGACTGAGGCCAAACTGACATATGTAATTCTTGCATCAGGAAAAATGGAAACTTGATTCCCCTAATATTTTTTCTGTTTCTTTCCTCCTGTGAGACTCAGTACTATGATACTTGTACCTTTAGTATCCATTTCTGTCTCTCAAATGCTACTTAGCTACTTAGCTACACATAGAAGCCAGAATCTGAGAAAAAGAAGAGACTGGGTGCTGGGCTGGGAAGGTGGCTCAGTGGTAGAGCACTTGCCTTGCATGCTTGAGGCCCTGGGTTCGATTCCTCAGCACCACATAAGAAAAAAGCCAGAAGTGGCACTGTGGCTCAAGTGGTAGAGTGCTAGCCTTGAGCTGAAGAGCTGAGGGACAGCGCCCAGGCCCAGAGTTCAGGCCCCACGACCGGACCAAAAAAAAAAAAGAGACTGGGTGCTGTGCCTCTTCACAACATGGAATAATAAAAACAGAAGGTTTGAAGTCTTTTCTTACTAGCAGGATTGAAATGTCATATATCTTACCTTGTTCTTATCTCATCGTTTTCTTTCTCTATGATTCAGTGAAGATTTTGATCATTTGGGTGTTTGGTAGTCCCTGTAGAGAAATAACAGGACATAAATGCAGACATCGAAGTACAGTCACAGCACTGAGTTGTGATGTGCCAAAAACTCTCAAAAGGAATCAAGCCAAATGTGAAAGAAGAGGGCACTGAAGCTACCAGTCATTCCAACACCTGAAATTACCATAAATGTTATTTTAATAGAGACTTCTACTATGATTTGCTGCCAGATTCAGATAAAATACATTTTATTCATGACTGCCACATTTGATGGGTCACCCAGGGGCAAATTAATCGCATTCTATGGGAATTTTAATGTCCACAGGTCACAAACCTTGGTCTTGTTTTTTATAGTTCTTCCAGGATGAATTGGGGGCGGAAAACTTCTAGAATAAAATTCCATTGAGAAGAACATTATAAAAAGGCAACAGTTCCGATGTTGGTGAAATTTTGTAGAAAAGATGATGGGGACATTTCAGGGGGTGACCAGATTTTACTGAAATAAAAGAGAGGTTTTGTGGCTACACATTTCCTCAGATTAAAAGAGTAGATTCCTAATGTTGTTACAGGGTTAAGAGCTTGCCTGTTTTTATTTTTAATCTTCGTTTTCTTTCTCCCCCTCTACTGTTCCCTAACTCCCTGGCTAGCACTTTTTATTTGCTGGGATCAGGTGCATTTAGATTTAGTAGTGGGACCAACACACATGGGTGTGAACAAACACCCATGTGTGCTGACTTAGGGCAATTTCGTCTAGGCATTTTGTATAGGCATTGTGGATAGAAGTGGAGGAAAATGCAATTTATTTTCCCCTTGTAACACTCCAACTATCCAAGCATTTCAGATAAAGGGACATTTGAAAAAGCTCTCTCTCTTAAGAATCAATTACTAATTGGGGATGTATCTAGAGCTATAGGCTTAAGAAATGCCCGGGACAGAGTCGTTTCCTTTGGTAGAAATACGGCGTAGCTCCGAGGTAAGATTTTTGTGACAGGTTTTGAAGGTGAAGGGTTTTTGGAAGCCACGAAGCTCTCTTGTTGGGTGTTCTATCTCACTTTGCTTTTTACAGCATCCACGGGAGAAAGGCACGCTCCTCCGGGTCGCACAGAGGAGCGAGGAGCTGCCTACCGTCTCGGCGCCAGGTCGGCTTCACAGGTGCCATCACAACTCAAAAATGTGCTCACAGGTACGGTCACGGGGCTCAGGGAGGGAGGCGCGCGGTGTGGGTTTGATCTGCGCTTCGCGTTTCCGACAAGAGATTCCCGGCGAGAAGCTGTTTCCTTACACGCTTCCTCCAGGCTGGTGAGGACGAGGGCTAAAAAGCAAAAGATCGAGGGTTCGTCTCGTGTGCACTTACAAGTCTCTGCGTGTTGCCGCTGTCCCGGGCTGGTGGTGCTGGATTCCACGGCAACTTCCCACGAGCTAAGAGTCCCGGCAGCTTCGGCGGGAAGATCTAGCCTCAGCCCGCCCCGAAAACACCGACACCCTCCCCAAAGCCCCGCAGAACCCCCACCAGCGACCCCCCCCCACCCCGCCCTAGCGGGTGGGCCTGGGGAGGTAGCAGGAGGGTCTCGGCCGCCAGGCCCCCTCCCGAGCGCCCTCTGGCGGCGGCAGCGCGCGCAGTCCCCCTTCTTCCCCCTCCCTGCGCCGCCGCCGCGCGGCGCCCCCGCCCGGCTCTCCTGGTTCACTCGCGGGCTCTCACTCCGTGAGACACACACGGCAGCTTTTTCCCCGCGAGCGGCGACCGCGCTCCCGCCGCCGATCGCCCGGAGGAGACCTGGGCGCGGGGAGGGAAGGCGAAGTCCCCGCAGCGGCAGTCCTTTCTCCGCACGCACGGTTCCTCCGGCGGGCCGACCCGGCTGCTCCGCGCCCCTCCCGCGCGCCTCCCTTCGCGGCCACTTCTCGGGGCGTGCCGGGACTTGAGTCGGGGTCCTGGCCGCGGCAGGGCGGGGGGGCCCGGCGGCGCGGGTGCGAGGACTGAGTGGTGGGCCGGGCCGGGCAGCGGTAGCCGGGGTGGGGGGCCGCCTCCTCGCTCTGCGGAACCTTCGCGGGCAGCGGCGCTCCGCGGGCCGGGGCCGCTCGGCCGGGTCCCCCGCGCGTTTCCGGGCCCGGAGCCGGCGCACCATGCGCCGCGCTGCGTTCTGATCGCCGCCGCTGCCGCCGCCGCCGCCGCCGCCGCCGCCGCGATGATCCCCCCGGAGCCGCCGCAGCCGCAGCTGCAGCCGCCGCCAGCCCCGCCGAACCATGTGGTGACCACCATCGAGAACCTGCCGGCCGAGGGCGGCGGCGCCGGCGCCGGGAGCCTGTCCGCCGCCACCCGGGCTGGCGTGCGCCAGAGGATCCGCAAAGTGCTGAACAGGTGAGCCGCGGCGCCCGGCCCAGACCTCGGGCCCGGAGTCTCCGGGGGTCCCTGGGATACGCTGGGGTCCTGGGGGACTGGGTGGCTGCGGGGGAAGCTCGGGGAGCCCGCGCGCTCCGCGCCCCGCGCTCGCCCAGAGGCCGCGCGCGCGCGCGGCAGCTTTGTCCTGGCGCGGGGAGCCCCTGAGTGCGGGAGCGGCTGCGGGCCGGTCCGGGAGCGAGTTCTGGGAGGGGCGGGGTGGGGAGAAGGTTCCGCCGGCCGCCCGGGGTGGTGCACGCGCGCCCTCGGCACACGCAGAACACTTCCCTTCCCTTTCCCACCGGCACCCGGCTCTGAACCGGGGGGACCCGGGGTTCGTGGCCAGGGCGGAGGCGGGAAGGCGCCCGCCTGGCTGCAGAGATGGCGTGGAAAGCACCAGCCGCTGGTGGTTGCCTCTCGGTTTCCCCCGACCCCCTCCCCAGCAGAGAGGGTCGTGGTGACAGCCCCTGCGGACCGGAGGGAAACCCACCTCTCCTGCCTGATGCTCGGGTAGCCCCTCCGACAGGCTCGGAGCATTCAAAAAGGAGGCTAGAGGCCTGGACCAGACCACGCAGAGTGGGACATGTTGCGGGAAGGGTGTGAGCAGGAGGCGCCGGGTAAATTCAGGCTGACGAAAGCCATGGGGATCTCCTCTGCATCCAGTGCTGGAATCTGCGTAGTGGATCCATCAAAGAGAGGGGCTGTTGATAAGGACCTGGGTAAACATGAACCTGGGAGCTTCTCCCTCCCCACCTCGTCCCCCCCACCCCCCGCGTCGGTGATTCAAGTGTGATGTGAAAGGGACTTCTGCTACTTAAGTAACTTCAATCGATTGGTGAGCAGATAGAACACAATCACATCGCCAGTGGGGCTTTCGCGTTTCTAGGTGCGTGCGCTGTGTGCTCTTCTGCGCGTCTGGAGGGTACCGCACCCCGTCTCTGTTCGCACGGGTCTCTGTGTGAAACTGTTTTGGGGTAGCAGAGATGGCCCGAGGAATTCACATGGAACCGTTTGAGACAGGAAGCTCTAGTAAAGATGCAACATATATCCAAAGAGAGGAGCACAGACATACCCTTAAAAGACAGGAGCTTCTAACCCTTCTTTCCAAGGATGGCTGTGTGAGCCATTCAAGAATCTCTTAACATGGATAATAACTTACTTGTGGGTACTTCTGCACGCCCCAGTTCATGATCAAACAAGAGGAAATCCAGTCCCAAAGGAGACCCTGAGTTGCTGTAGGGAGTCTAAGTTGTAACTTAGTCATGTATTTTTAAAATGCCATAGACAAAGGAGCAGAATAAATGAAAAAGATGATGGCTCAATACATATAATGTGTTTTCTGTTCTTTATGAATACTTGACTTTAAAAAAAATTACAAATGCCCTGCCATTAGCAATTTAATTTTTAAGAAGTTTATTTTCAATTATTAATTTTTCTCATCAAAATAGAAAATAGTGGCACACAGATTAATTTATTTATGTGTATTTATTTATGTGTATTTATAAGTTATTGACTCTATAAAGGTCATTCTCTGATATATAATGACTCTGTCTGCCAGAATGACAGATCCCTGGAGTAGACTTGCAGGGCTTGGATGGTTACCATTCTCTTGCCACTAACCAGTCGTGTGGCTTGTGACAGAGCCATTTATCTCCTTGAATCTCGGTTTTCCATGGAGATAAATTAAAATTCGTTTGATCATATTTGACTTACTTTCCTCTACCATGATTTTGATAACTAGATAGTACTGAAGAAAACGCATGGAAAAGTAGAAATCGCTACATACTTTATTTGAATTTTGTTGTTTGTTTGTTGAGGGTGAGTGAGTCTACAGGACAACAGAGGCAAGTAAAGTGAAATCCTGGTCCATCAAGGGTACAGTGTTGTAGTTCTGCCAAGCCTTATGCAGCCTGTGTATTATTCCTAATTATCAAAGGGGGGAACTTGGACTTAGGTTGGGTCAATGACATTTCATTTCAGGGGTATTTGTGAATAGAACCCTATGGTTATAGCCTTTAGACTCAAACCGAAAACAATTAGTTTGTCCATTTTAATGCATTTTTAAAGGCTACATATACATTTGTCTTGAAGTTCTTCACACTTTTCAAAATCATTTTTGGGTGGGTATGGAGTAAATGGCTTTGCCTTATCCTTAAAGGAAAAGGAGAAACTATTTCTTTTGAAAAGTACATCTTTGATAAGAGAACTGAAAGCAATCAGAATATCTTTCACAATGTTTAATGGAATAGTTTCATGAGTATGCTTCTGGAGACTTGGCCTTTGGGCCAATGAATGTATCAATAACAGAGAATATTAGTAGTGACCACTCCCCCCCCCCCCCCCCCCACACACACACCTCGGAGCCCTTGTGACATGTGGCAGTAGTCAGTAATGACCACAAGGTTGGCCTGTTAGGGTCTAAGCAAAATCATCTTGTTGATTTCTTAAAAACTCAAGTTGTGTTCACTTTTTCTCCTTCTCTTTCACCTCCTAGTCCTTCTCTTTCCTTTACTCACATTCCCCTACCCATGCCTTGTCTTCATTCTTCGTTCCTAGAAGAAAGTGTTTCCACATTCAGAAGCTACAAGCCCATTTAAATAAATGCTCTTCCAACTTTGGCATTTATCTTACACAGTTGGCACCATTCTGTTGCTGTGAGCTAGTGGGGTAGTCTGCTTATTGACTGAAGGAGGCATTGTCAGCTCTCATCAGCCTGTTGAGCCAAAGGAGCATCGCTGAGGGAAAGGAAGATGGAATGGTATGAGAAGTGTTAGACTGAACAAGGTGAGCCCCATGTTGCCCGCCAGTAGCCACAGCTACCTGCCAACCTAGAGGAAAAAAATGCAAACATACGCTATCTGTACTCCTTCTACCTACAGATAAAGAGAGAAGTATTGATTGACAATTAAAGACACTTGCTCTCAAAAAGGTTAGCATAAAACTGAAGTGTTAGCTTAAAAAAAAAAATCTACCTTACAGCATCTACATTTTTTTGTCTTTGATAATCTACATTTTTTTATGTCCTTAGTAGAACATTTTCCTTCTCTTTACTATAAGGCTTTCAGGGGTAGATTGCTGAATTTTGTACATGACAATTGGGACATTTCCCTATTTCCTTTCTGTGTAGCAATTAAACTCTCAAATATAATAACCTCCAATAAGATGATGTTAAGCGAAATGAACCCCAAGAAGGGACACAAGTGTTTTTTTTCTTCCTTGCCATTGTTTCTAATGTATTTATAAGGTACCATGTGATTTTTTTTCTTTTTGCTTTGTATATCCCTCTCCCATGGTATAAACCCTGTTTTCACTGTATTTGATGTTGGTATAATTTGGGGAGGGGAAAGGAAAAAACAAATTGTTTAAATAGGGATACAGATTGACCCATTGCAGCAATGAGATGTACAAGATGCTATGTCAAAAAACGAACTTTACAATTTAGGCCAGGGGTAGGGGTGGGGGTGGGAGAGAAGGGATGGTAGGGGAAAAGGAGGAGGCAACAATGCTGGATAAGAAATGTACTCATTACCTTGCTCATGTAACTGTAACCCCTCTGTACAGTATTTTCACAATAAAAAACTTAATTAAAAAATATAATGCCCCAAGACTTGATGAAAGACAAGATGCTAGTTAATTCTTTTTTTTTCTTTTTTAGACAGCTAATGGATGTTTTGTATTATCTTTCCTGTCCTATTCAAAAGTGTTTTGGCAGTGAGATTCAAGAAATGAAACATAATTTAAATGTTGGAATAATGACTACCTCCTTATGTTCCAAAGATACAAATAATGCATTGTTTCAAACAAGGAAAATATGATGGCAAACTGTCCTTTACTTACTTGCTTATGATGGAATAGTATTTATCACGCTGCCAGAGACAAGAAAAAAAAAAAGAAAAGGAAAGAAGACTTTAAGGGCAATAGTTGATGACCCTTTCACAAAAACTGCTGACCAATAGATTGTTTGAAACATATAGAAGTAGATACTACCTATATATTAAAATGTCTGAAGATTTTCTCCTCAGAAATAGGTAGTGAATAAAATGTAAAATGAGAACTAGCATATTTCATGTTTTGTATCTGTGTTGCTTTTGCTGAACTTTCCACACTTGAATATTATTCTTAGTTTTCCACAAAAAGAGCCATGAATCTACTTTGTATCTGTTTTCTTCAAAATTAGACATATATTGTGTGGTCTCAAGTTCTAAAAAGGTTTCTGTTGATGGAGTCAGGTAGTGAACTATGAGTTGCCCCCTGGGTCAGCCAGTCATTTAATTTGGAACTAATTTTTCAACTGATATTTAGATGTATTTTGTTCACTCAAAAGTTTCTGAAAGTGTTACAAATTGTAAACCAGCGAACATTAAGGGGAATGTCTAGGAAAATTGGTAGCACGCCTGAGTGGGGAACTTGCCATGAACAATGGGTCAGGGTGTATATATGACTCACCTTCCCGAGTCATTCATAAGAGGACAGAACCAACAGAATGACTGCCAAGAAATAGATGGTGAGGGTTGGAGGAGTGAATCAGTGGTAGAACATTTGTCTAGAAAGTGCAAGGTCCTGAGTTCGAACTTCCATACCACAACCACAATAAGTCAGTAAGTAAATAAAGAGGAAGAAGCTAGGAGAAATAGACATTTGCATAAACTAGATAGTAGATTTAGTTAATAAGGATCAGTTTGTTTTGCAAGAAATTGGTAGTAAAGTTCTTCCCCAAGCTGAGCCTTCTAACAGATGTCAAAATGAAAAGAGGACTGGTGGATAATGAGGGTAATTGATAGAAAATATCCCAAAAAGGAACCGGGTGGTGTGATTGAAAACAGACATTTCAAGGTTCAGTAGTAAATAAAGATGCTTGAAGGACACATATGTCTTAAAATAAAGCTACCAATTAATAAAAATAAATGAAAAGATCATTTAGTATTTTCTCACAGTGCCTGGAGCAATTAGTGAATAAAAATCAGTTAATAAAAAATCTCTTT